ACAGAGAAAACACAGGGTTCCTCAGCCGCCACTCAGTCAACAGGCACGGATTTCAACAAGTCGCAGAAATAATTGAAAGCAAAAGGCCCGTCTGACCTCAAAATGCCGGATAAGAGCAACTGGTAGGTTGAGTAGTATCTTCAGACAACCCTTACCCCACGAGGAATGAGTCATTAACACCGAGGCCTGGATTAATTCAATAATGGCCACTGATGATCCATTTTCCACGAATGGAGATTGAAAGTCTGGGAATAAAAGGTTAATGATAGCTTGATCAGGACCTAATGACCTCATATCAGCCTAATGTCCCGGATGGGTAACGGAGACACGAGCAACAAGACGATGGAATAATCGCTCTGACAGGCCGGAACATCGCCAGTCTTCCTTCTCAACACGCACATACAGTAGCAGGGAACTTTAGCAATCGGTGTCTCAAAGTGGAGCAGTATGACTATAGTATGACTCTCGATTTCAATACTAGTAAAAGAACATGTGTAAATATTGCGTCCCCTTCCACCAGAGGCTCAGCGACCGCTGAGCGACCAAATCTTATTTCATACATACATATTATAAAGAACAATTCAATTATTTTACGTAAACGTTTTGCGTTTTGTTGCTTCTTTGAATCACACATATATCAAAATATCATACCATCACGTGTATCATAATTCAATTTAAAAAGATTGGGAATCACACAGATCCATGTAGTCGTGGTCGCTCAACTGTCGCTAAGCGATCGCCGTCTGGTGAAAAGTGGGCCTTGATGAGCGTTCTTTCTTGTGGAAAGGGAGGTGTCACTTTTCGGTGACAAGAACTGTTTGTGCAAACACACCTGCCAGTGAAAAAAACAGCAACCCTTTATCACCATCTTTAGACTGTAAAATCCTCCGGGGGCGAATCTTTGCCCACATGGATGCGATATCAACAACACACAGCCAGAAAAACGCTGACACCTACACTAATCTCCCCCTTCCTTCTGTCCAAACTGTCACATTTAGACCTGTAAAAGGCAGATGTGAGCGGGGATAAATCGTCAGTCGCCGAGTGTGGAAGTGTGACATAAGCCCTCTCAGCTTTAGCCGCCCATCAATGCGGACGTCATGGATGTCCTTATCGTGACTTGGACGACTTTCTGACGGTTACAAAGTCAAACCCGTCCGAGTGACAAGGGATCAGGTACGGTTGACATAATCCCAGTCCTGTCATTTTGCCAGACACCACGGCCGTTTGTACTGCGACATGACGTTGTGGCTGCGCTGACAACTTCGGTAAAATGTCGTGAGAGAAATGAAACATGAAGTAGCTGTGTACCTTTGTATATCAGTATAACGTTATACATGGCGGCGATGAATTGAATCTGTGAGACCCTTTAAGCTTGATTTCACAATTGGAAAATGATGCATGACTATGAGAATACAACAAATGTTCACGGCATTCGTTGAGCGGTTGCTTCGTGGTCGACCACAGCCTCTGGTGCAAAGCTTTTAGGTAGCATGTAAATCACTGCAAGAATAACCGTTTTATTACCTAACTAGCTAAAGGCTTAATGGGCCTGTGATGATGAATTGAGGAATTCCCTCTAACATTATCGGTGATGCTGTTAACGGCGGAAAAACAACATGGCGTTTGACAAAATTCACAAAACAAAAGCAGTCACTGTCAGAAATGACGGGCCGTCACTTTCCCACATACGTCTTTTCATCTCCACCGCGTGACTGTTAAACCCCTTGTATTACCGCGTCCCTGTGGTTGCACTGTGGTTGTAGATAGCGGGGATGGATCAGTTCGACTTCAAGCCGGATTTAGCTCCTGATGGAAACCTTCTGACATGATAGGACATCAGTAAAGACCGTGATACGACACATGACGTGGTAAATGTAATCCTAGTTTTCCTCAACGAGCACCGCTACGGCAGATGATGGGAACAATCACTGTCAGGGGTAAATACTCGTACAGGGGTGTCGATGTTTTGAAAAACATAGCAGAGGACTTTCAAACCAGACGTCAGTTTAAATGGGCGATGAACGTTGGTGACACGTTCTTTATAGTAGAAATCTATTAATTTTCTCTGCCTTTCCTTTACCGGTAACGATCATTTGACATCTTGGATAACATTAACAAGGCGCAGATCTCTTACTACTAGCCGTAGTCTACTCAACTTGGTATTTTCTCATGAATGCATGCATGTTCAATGGATGAAACCACGCCCTTGATAAGTACAAGTGGCAACTAAAAGATGTTTCGCAGATGCCTCTGATACAAATTTGAACCAAACCAACTTCCTTTTGAATTGATAAATCCGTACATTATATGCATTTTAGTTACATTGGATGTCAAATCATATGCATATCATCACTGGAGTAGGGATGTAACAAGCGGCATTAAATTAGATGGATAGACAACTGTGCACGCGAATGTATGGGTTGATTTCTTTCTTTCTTTACAATTACAGTCAGAGAAGATGGATTAGAGTGATCCTCAGAACGCTAATATCATCCCTCTTGTTAAGGTAATTACGGTTGGATTGCTCCTGTCTCTATCGTCTTATTAATTCACAGGTTTTAAATTGATATTAGTTAAAAAAGAAACAAAAGAAAGAAAGAAATGTAAGAAAAGGAGGAGCTACGGTCTATTTTGTTTGCATGTGATTTAGGATACCTGCATCGGGTTTGTTTATATCAAGACAAACAAGACTGTGTTTGCCTAAATGGTATGCTTGGTGTACCGTGAAGCTCAGCAATGCCATCTAGCGGGTTTGGACTAAGTTGAAAGAATGTTGAAAGAAAAACTGACTCTTTTCTCGCAGGGGGCTCATAAGAGGAACTCAATGGCCGACAAAAACATTCCAAGGGGAAGTTTCTTTCGTAAGATCTACATGTTAGTAATCATGGTGTGAATAAATCTTGAGAGGTTGACAGAACATGGGTAGTGGGATATTGAGAGGCAGAACAACAGGTGGTCAAAAGGTCACTGTAGATGGGGTGAACCTGAAGGTCACAGAATCTGGAGTTAGAAGTCGACATGGGACAATTCAGGAAGCCGGGGATCGCATGAGAGACTCCATTCCTGCTGTTTCCTAGTCCTGCATAATGTACGTCATTCAATCTTATCTAATGTTTCAATAAATTCAAAACCCACATTACTGCCTGGAAGTCTGGAATGTCTGATTTCTTGTTAATGTTATGGTGAAGGACGTCTTATTGGAGTTAATAATTAAACATCCTATCATAGGAGTCTGTAAACATATGACGTCATACCATGCCAATGTTTGGTGACACCGGCGAGTGGTACTTGTACTTACCGTTTGGTCTCGCCCATTTTAATTTCCGGGTGTGCACGAAGCAGCAAGCGGCACGATCATGCTGAGGTCCCGGCCAGTGCGAGTCGTATCTAAGAAGTAAGGTACGTAGTGACTTTTTTCAATATTTTGATTCCATTTAGCCTATCAAGTTTACTAGTGTAGAGGTTCAAGACGTCGATGTGAGGTAAGGTAGAGGTGTACGATTCTGTCACATGTTTACGGCAAGGTCATTGCCATTCGTGTAAGGGAACATCACGGTTTACCTCACACGTTTTCTTGGAGTACGAGTACTTTTTTCCTGATTCTGAACTGGACATAAACTGAACTAGACGTTTTCTCCTCCACAATATTTCACGACAAGAGCTGGTGGTGCCACTTACCAGTGAGTGGCAAAGGCAGCCGCGGGAAACCTCGATGACCGCATGTGTTTGTACAGCTTTTGGTCCGTCATACAACACAGGTTTTCCCCAACAGGACGGAACAAAACTTACTGGTTAGGGCCGGGTCACACACGTCGTACGATCGCAAACTGAGGGCATTTGGGGGATAATCGTGGTTGTGTCGTAAAAATTCATGTCTTGTTACGGAAACAGTCTTATCGGTGGTTGGTTTTTCTACAACCTACTACGATATTGAAATCGTACAATGGCGAATGTGACCGCGCCGTTAGGTTGACGAAAAACGTGCTTCATTTTCCTAACATAACACCTATGACTGGGACAAGTTATAGTCAAACGTGCAGGTTGAAACAAAGGCAATGACGTAGTCAACGGTTCATTCTCCTCAATTCATTGCGTCAAAACAAGTGTAGTGTGTCTGTATAGTCGTGTTTCAAACTTCCGTTTTCCGTGTTTAAAGTCAAGTATACTTAAGTTTGTTCCGCTTTGTAAAATGGTATTATTGTATTAATCAATCAATGACGTCGACATTCTTTTCTGCGATGGAGTTAATAGCATAAACTACCCGGAAATTATGTCATGCATAGTTACAACAGCAGAGCAAAAAGCCACCTAGTACTTGTTTTCGTCTTGGTTTGCAAGATAAACACGCCCACCTGGCCGAACTGTTATTGCAGATCATCTTTAGAAGGGGCGTTAACCGGTGTGTGAGGGGGGCATCAGACACATTTCATTAGGAACCAACCATACTTGTTGATAAGGGCTCGGGGTACGTCGTAGTACGGGCGAAACTTCTGTACAAAATGTAGGCTTTTTTCCGCGGTACTAAATTTTTTCATGCCCGCTATACCATTAGAGATAGACCTTTCTTCACCTTTACCCTCATTTGTCCTTCTGTGACAGAGGGTGTAGACGTCGCCTCCTGTCCGATAAAACAAGCTTTAAACAATACATGTGGTCAGCCAGAGGTCACCTGTGTGTTATAATTTGCAAACAACACACTACAGCCGAAGGGATGGGTGTAGCACGGTAAATACAGACAGAGATTGGCGTCGTGTGGATTCAGGCAAGGGTCAATTTGGTCTGGTCAACATTTTCATCAATTATTGACCAGAGACAAGAAAACGCTGTTCGGGAGTGGATGGTAGAGCATGGCCATTTATGTCTGAAATAAACAAATACAACACATATGGCAGCATGGATACTTGTAAGACAAATAAACAAATAAACCCTAAACAAAAACAGACTGCTTGGATACCAGAGTATATAACGTAAAACAAATAAACAAATAATACTTAAATAAAAAACAGGCTGCATGGATACCAGAGAGTATAATGTGAAAAACAAAAAATGAAACATAAATAAAAAAACAAGCTTCATGGATACCAGCGGATATAAATGTAAAAAAATAAAACATAATAAAAAACAAGCTGCATGGATACCGGTATGTGTGACAATAATATCCTTGCATTAGAAGTAGTGTTCAAACAGGGAGAACAGAGTTATATGTCGTCTGTTTACTACTCAAACAGACGACCAAAAGATTACCACGACAAATGTTATATATTTTAGGAGGGTCTGTATTGGCCAGTGGACTGACAATGCTGAAGATTTGGGGGTTCTGCATGTAGAATGGTAAAATTCCTGCGAATGATTTTGGGTTAAGTTCAATTTGGTCCTTTGATTTGTGTTCATAGGGTGTCTGTTAAAGTTGGTCTACGAACGACATAACAGGAAACTTTGTTGTGACTTTTTGTCAATCTAGCATTCACTTTCACTTTATATATATCACGTACAATTTGAAAAGTGATCAATTACGCTAAACAATTGGAAATTAACAGCAACGCGTAACAACAAGTTAGATCTGGCTGGATACCTAATAGCTCGCTACGCCTCACGAAAAAAGGTGTTATAGTTATAGTAATCACTACTGTATGACCCTTGTGACATTACAAAGTCACGAGCCCCGCTTGTTCCAAAGTGCATGCTTGTGGCAGTTTTGGGGACGTGTATGTTTTCCTTGACTATATAAATACTAAATAGGGACATACATGCATTCTAAAAGATCCAGAAGTCGTGTGTACAAAAAACTAATCCTGTTATCATTTTTTTGTTCATTTAGGTACCTTCATGCAGTCGTGACTGAGAACTCCTGTGTCACGTAATCATGGGTTTCAAGAGGCCTTTAAAAGACAAGGATGACAGCGGCGGTGATTGGGAAGACACTATCGTATTTGCCGTGGTTACAGCTGTTGGGATCTTTCTCCTATTACTAATACTACTGATACTATGTCTGAAGTTCAAGTGGTGGCAGTCACTGAGCAAGAAGTTCTCAGTGCCTGCGCTTCGTGGTCGTGTGGAGGAGACCAACGACTTATCCGTGTGGCCTGCGTACAGAAATGGTCAGACGTTGTCTCTCGGATATCCTGCCCTAAACATCGGCCGCTCTGAACAGTTCTCCTACACAAACGGAGCAGCTCATTTCCAGGCGTACATGTATGACGGTAGAGTAGCTGGTTTTGGAGTGCTGGAAAACTCTTCACCTAAATCAACTGTCATTTCTCCTCCAGTGTCCTCGGTTGATTTCTGTGACAGGAGAGGAATCCCGGATGACTTCTTGTACGATTTGAGAAAACAAGAAGACACCAGTAAGATTAAGACAGTCCACGGTAAGCTGGTGGTGTGTGTGTCCAGGTGGGTGGATCACCGCGGGGCCGTGCTCATGTTAGACTGCATGGGCATCTCACTAACCATCCCCCCGGGAGCCCTGGAGACGTCCCGCAGGGAACTCATCTCACTCACTCTGGTCTGGGACTTGAACGACGGGCCAAAGCTGACAGAAAAACAAGGTCTGGTCAGCCCTGTAGTTCACTGTGGTCCGCATGGACTCACTTTGAAGCGGCCGTGTACACTCACTTATAAGCACTGCGCATTTGAACCTACTTTGGTCTCCACATGGACCAGCGAAACACATCTGTTTGGTGACAAGAAATGGAGACTGTTATGCAAGAAAAGAGACACAGACCGCCAGTGCTCCTTTCTTGGGGACGAATGCATTGTCAGGTTGAATCACTTTTCTCTGTACACCAGTATCATGACTGCAGAAGACGGCGGTGTTGTCAGAAAATGGCTACAGATGGTACCTTTTGCGTACGCTCTCAGAGATGGGCGCTTCTACGAGGTGAGGATATATTTGCTCAACAACACCCCCTGCGCACTGCAGTTTGCTCGGTACAAGGAAGGGGAACTAGGCGGCAGACAGTGTAACGCTGAGAAGCTACTGCTCTTTGAAGGGGACGGTAGCAATCTTAAACTTGAACTCACAACTCTGTGCGATGGGTGGACGAACACGGATGCCCCCAAAGAGGACGTACAGTTTATCCAACTGTGGCACAATCTGTGTCCATACGCGTCCTTCTGTTTCCAACGCGATGACCCGACGGTCTCCGATATCAGTGTTACCATCATCGCCTACCAGCGCAGCCGGGTGGAAGATTCTGCAAAACTGCGGATCCTGGCTGCCACCGAGGCTGGCCAGGGCACGTGGTCCTCTGGACCCACAAACTCTTCCAGACCTGGCTCAAGCCGATCAACTGTGCCCTCTTCTGGGAAGGATGTGAACAGCAGCCAGGTCGGCACGCCACTCCTGGGGCTTCCCGGCCCGAGGGTCCCGCGGATCTCCCACTCCCTCAGGATGAAGCTGCAGATGTTGTTAGACGCACGTTCTACCCTTGGAAACGACTGGAGAGCTTTCGCCGGCAAGCTCAACCTCGACCACTGCATACGCTGGTTGGAGACCCAGGTATGATACTCTACAACAATTTGCACATTTATGGTATGGGAAAATGTGTGGGACCAATACCAGCTTATAACATTATAACATAGGGCAGTGCAAAAGGTTTTACACCTGTCCTTTATGTCTCTTGTATGTATTACTAATAAGATGAGATCGTAACTGGCAAACTGACCTTTCACAGAGTATATCTTGATGTTATCATAGTGAAATTCTTTAAAAAGATGCATATGACTAAGTACACTACACTGTACAATATGCTTGAACTGGTCTTGCTGTTGTATATGTGAATTAAATGTGAATTTAGTCATTAAATTGTAACATTGTTTGAATGCTGTATTCTAGCCCAGTCCTATGGCCATTCTGCTGGACAGGTTTGAGGAGGAGGGCCGTACTGTGCAGGACCTCGGCTGCCTACTGTACCAGATAGAGAGGCTGGACGCAGCGGCAACAGTCATGGAACACCTGAAGGAGGCGGAACCACGCAGGGGGTCTGATCATACCACCAACTCCAGCAGTGATGTTACAATGGCAACTGAAGATGCTGTAGAGGATGACCAGGCTGTCAGTGAGGATGAGCAATCCACAGATCTTTGAACAGTGCTTTTGCATCATTTTCACTTCTACATTGTTCCTGTTTCAGGGAACCTTTGTAGGGTTCTAGCTAGCAGGCAAATGTACCCTAGCTTGGAAGGATGTAATTACATAAGATGTTCAATTATACATGTTTGGACTTTTTTGAAAATGTTTCTGTGTGAAATTCTGTTTTTCCTATGAAAGTGAAATTCAGTTTTTTTGTCTGAAAATTTAGTGAAAAATAGCCTTTCCTACGTACTACCTCTTTCTACAGGCATATATGTCTAGCTTAGTGGATAAGTCTGACAACCAAAGGCTATTGTATATAATTTTATGTATTTACATCTTTATTATTACAACAAAGGACTTTCACCTAAGTGACTGAACAGCTACATCTAAATAACATATTTACACTAATCTATATCCCATCTGAAATGATGTCTCTAACATAGTACTAGTAGGTTCTTAACTTTTCATCTACTACTAGTCTAGTACTAGTCTGAGTCATATCACAAGTACAGTATTTTCCATGTATACACCAATGGCAACAGGGTGTCTTCTATATACCTCAGAGATGGCAAAGTTTTCATATGAAATAGTGTAGTTATCCAGACTTGTACATATTTACTTAAGTTAAAAACAAGGGATGGTTTTTTTTTGTGCGTGAAAAATCTGCACATGACAATATGCAAATTAGCTGATTCCCAGAGGATTTAAAAACTTTTTGCTGTTTTAACTTAAGCTTAAAAGTTAGAAAAAAGACTAGAAAATGAAAATTTAACACCATTTGCTTGCATTCTAGACTACATAGCCTTGTTTTGCCAAATTTTCAGTGATTTCAGGTGATTTTCAAAGGTTATGTATTGTTTTCACGCGCAAAAAAGGTTGAAATTTGCGCGAGAAAGAATTTGTTTAAAAAAGCATAAAATCAAACTTCTGGAAGGGAGAAAAGCTTTAAATTGTTACATTTTACTGTACAAAACATTATAATAGTAACTTTTCCAAATTCAAGCGATTTTCAAAAGTTTTATAGAAGATATGCAAATTAGCTTATTCCCAAGGGACGTACATTTTGAAACAAAAATTTTGTCTAACACTAGTAACAGAGGGGAAATTATACCAGAGGACAACATTTTCCAGCCTAAGAATTTGATACCACATATTTTCTAACATATTTCAGGGACTTTTATTTTTCATGCGCATGTTTTTCACGCGCAAATTTTTCACGTGCAGAAAACCCGCTCCCCAAAACAAAACCTTCCTTAATATCAGTATCAAACTTTTCAAAGATTGGTGATGTTCATAAAAGAACATCTAATTGCACCTTCCTTCGAATTCAAAATGATCTATTATCATTAAGGACTAGTGATGAGGCAAACACATGTTATGAATTGTACAAAATGAGCAAATTTCGTATATGTTTTATACTGTTTATAAAAAACTAAGACAAGCTGATATACTATTTAGTGAGTGAGTGATATATGTAGCTTTATCCTGGTGTGTTTCTGGTGACATTAAGTGATTAAGTGATTGAATATTGTTGATGAACCTTTGTAAAAACTTGGTATAATTATAGACATATAGGAAGAAGGATAACACCTAGGAACCAGCTGAATGAGTAGACTGATCCCATAGCCCTTACATAGACCTCTGTCAAATTCAAAACATATAGATTTATGAAAATGCAAATACATTTGACAGACATGTAGATAGTCTCATTGGTTGATTTTCTAATAACTTATTGTGATGGATAATCAGGATCCGATTGGTCTATTCCCTTGAAGTTGAAAGGCATGGCTCTCATGGGCCTGTACATAAAGTAATGGCAGCATATTCCTGTGTTGTATTTTCTGGTGGTCAGCATCACCCTTTGCTTGCCTTTAGGACACTCTAGAAAGAATAAAAGCAATGGAATGAACTTTCCGAGAGGTTACAGTAACTAATAATTAATATTGATTGTTTGCAGAGGCTGCACTTTCATGTTTTTCATGGTGACCTCATACTATGGAAACAACTCTAATCTGTATTTTGTAATTCTATGTTACACTTGACTGCTTGAATCGCTAACTTCTTGCAAACCCTTTTTAAGTCAATGATGGAAATTTCTTTTTGTTCTTGGACAGGGTTGACAGGTTTATAGGGTCGGTTTTATAGCTTGACACGCAACATTTTTTTTCTTAGGCCACACCATCTTAATTTTATGGATGACATCATCTGAAGACCCACAAACTAGTGCACGCGGGCGAATAAAAAATAATCTGGCCAAAAATAAAAATGTTACTAAACCACAGGAATACAAAGCTGTTATTGTGAATTTGCGGCAGTACATAGCGACGTATATGACATGCTGGATTTTTGCGAAATTTATGAGTCCGCACTTTATGTACGTGTACATGTACTAGTATGTACTGAGATCTGGAGTCATGGAGCTCCGGTAGCCTGGGTGCCATCCTCCAGAGTTACCACCTGCTCCGTATTGTGACTATTATCGCTATTTACCAGGGACCACCCAGGCATAGACATATATATATAGAGCCAGGCCAGAGCCTGGGTGGACGTGATCTTTTTTTTTGTTTTTTTGGAATAGGCGAAAATCAATGCACGCGCAGATGCCATCCATAGAATTAAGTCGGTGTGGCCTTACCTAGGCCTTCTGGCTAAAATGCAACTGACTATGAGTATGAGGAGTCTGTTCCCAGACAAGAACATATAAAATTATAAATCCTATCTTACATACCTTAAGGACTTTATTGACATGCTGTCCTGTCACAACCTTCTGTCTGTCCTGCTGGGCTTCCACACACGAGGCAGCCGCTAGCCGCTTCAGGAACAACATGTAGCTCAGGAACACCTGTGGGATAGAGGATAATTGTAGCCCGTGGCCATGGCCATGTAGCTGTAGTGACTGAGACATATACAGTAGATTATTTGTTTGTTGATTCTTTAATTTTATTTTTAAGGCAGTTTAAAAATTATGACCAGGTGCTGAATGAAGTTATTTTGGTAGTTATTCATATCAAGGTAAAGTCACTTCTCTTTCTTCAGCAACTTGTAAGAACAGATCATGTTTATTGTTACCATTTTTTCTACCTCCATGTTGTTACAAAAATTATACCGCATGTGGCGTAGAGTAGATTCACGCTACTGGGGAAGGTAATATTTGATGGTGGAACTACATCTTACAGTTTTTCCCAAACTCAAAGATGCATGGTTGATCATTCAAAAGGAACCAAACTGTACAAATTTGTCGCGACATGTGGTAAGATGTTTTAGTTGAGGGGGGGGGGCTACGTTACTTACGACAAGTTCTGCATTCCTGCTCATCTTAGCATTCGGCTGGTGTCTCTTTACAACAGCCCGGATCCGCGCCCTAGGACAGCTTCTTTTCATGGTGGATACAAATGGCTTTTCTTTAAATAGAAACGACTAGGAGAAAAGATTCAAGACAACTTGAAGACGCGACTGTGCAGATTTTCAACAAAATCCCGCCGTTCAAATTTGGAGCCAAAGTGTCATGGAAGAGAACAATGTAGTTTGTGGGGGAGACGTATATTAAATCTGGGGCGTTATGAACAATAAAACGACTACGACAAGTATAACATAGAAAATAAAGTTTAATTACATTTTTACTAATAATAGTATGACTTAATTTAAAATGGTGATGAAAATGGTTATTCTTCTAAATTGTTCTAGATTCAATTTTGTTTACGCCCCTTCTTTGCAAAGTGAACGAACCCCAAGGCTGCATGATGGGAAACTGGATTTGTCATATATTTTTTTTGAATTGAATTTCGTAATAACTTCCATAATTTGCACCTGGAAGTTAGTTTTTACAGATTATTTGTAAAAAATATTTTGCGCACATGAAAAATGGTAAAAGATACATAAACTTCTTGCCGGTGATTCAAGGTTTTTCACCTTTGACCTTTCCTCCACGAGGTTCCCAGCTGCAAGTTGGAACTTGGCATCCTTTGCCCGAATAAACACCAAACTTTGACAAAAGCAAGTAACAGAAATGGCGAAGACAGTGCAGAAGAAGAAGAAGAAAGTTCAGGATCGAATTAAGAAGTCTAATTCGAGCACAAATCCAGGTATGTATAGAATATCATGGTTGAGAATGGTGGGGAGGGGGGCTCAAGTGGACAGACGAATCATCACGTTAGCTTGGTTCTGCCGTCTGCAGGTTACCAGACCTATTTTAGCTTCCAAGTCTCGGGAGCTTAAATACGTCTGGCAACCATGCTAAGTCGCGTGAACTCTACTTTGTCTCTTACGGTAGCCTTACGTCGTTTTTACGCATGTGTATATATCTGTCAGAATGTTGTGAAAATTGTAGTTTAGGCTGCTTCGTGGATATATATATTTGAGAAGAAGTATTTTGGTGTGCAACATCCTGATCATCAGAAATCTTTCAGCCAGCATGCGCAGACGGGCAATTCAAAATTCACCATGTTGAGTATGTTTCTCCGTGTTTAGATTCAAGTCCAATCAAACATAACATATTGGATCACTAACAGTAATTGACCTGGGGCCGAAATGTCTGCAGTGTGGGGCTGAAACGTCCTGATAGGCTGGGGACCAACCTGTCCAGGAACCGAAGTGTCCAACATTGGACCAAAAAGGTCCACACCACAAGTCTTTTTATTTCATCACAACACGGCTGGGCAATACCTATCTGGAGGAATACTGCTTGTATTGTAATATGTTTCTCACAATGTTTGCATAATGTATCAATAATGTATCCTCAAGGTAATAAAATTATTCCTACTTCATCAGACCGAGTATCTGGAGCTGCATCAGGCGGTAAAAACATGCGGGACAAAACTACCATCAAGCGACTACTCATGTACAGAGGGGGGAAGCCAAAGAGGTACTGTACCTGTCCTTTAAGGTGGCGCTGAGGTTACAATTATCACTCATGTGGAACGTGTCCGAAGTTGCCCGAATCTTGATGTATTCAGATGGGAGAGCTAGCAGCTGTGACAGGAGGGTGGTGTCAATTACGCCCACAAGACCTGACCCGCTTACACTGAAGGATGTTTCTTACAAAAGACAGGGATAAATACACTGTATACACACTGTGTGTCATATAAAAAGAGTTGTAGCCTTTAGCATCACATTAAAATATTGTTTCCCTTCATTAAAACATGTGATTACCCCTGAACATGCTGTATCTTGGAGCGATAGTAACTGTGGTACTTGGGAGATACCACGTAAGAAAAGGGTTTCTTTTATGTAGACAACTTATTGGTGCACACTATACATGTTTGTCGCTATAAGGTAGCAAAATACTAACAAAGAAATGAAAATTAACTACAAACTGTAAGTAGTTTCATGTAACTATGGACTCAAAACACAATATGGAACCTGCATGCTACTTGTTTTGAGTTGGACTCGTCCACACATGTGCGAGGCAGATCCCAGCCCTGCCAGGATCGTTCCCAGTGGGAACGTCACGGGGATTATTCCAATTAATGCAGTGCAGTGGGGCTACATAACAGGCCTCATTTGCATCTTCGGCGAACATCGGAGCCAATGGATACCTCTTTTTTGTGGCAATTTTTCTCCGGATACATTCGGTTCATGCCTTATTTGGGTGTTTCACGTGGTGGGGTTGACCCCTTTCCTTGGCCGTATAAAGTTACATTTTTGGAGAGGTCGTTGCCCCGACCGAGAGACACACCAGAGTTTTGCATCAAAAATCAAGCTTATTTCTCTAATATCTGTTGAATTTGGTCAAAATGTTGAAAAATAATTTTATACGGACATGGCCTGTAGTGTTAGTAATGACTTTAGACTAAAGTTTTAGTGATATTAGGACAGCTTTAGGCACTAAACTTGCCACAAACGGATTGGGACCCCACGAACCGGAAGTTGAGTTTTGAGGTACAAATTTGCTAAATTGTCTCACTTTCTCCTGCAAAACATTTTATTTATGTGATCCACACATATTTTTGTTACTTGTGTGTGAATTTCATTAAATTTGAACTAAATCTTACGACGCTACGAGGTTGAGAAGTCACCGACTCCTATACCCTCCCTGCACCACCCCACGAGACCTCAGCGCCACCTTAACACTTGCACTGGCCTTTGGTAGATTGTCTATGCACATAATCATAATGAAGTTTTAGATTGTCAAACATGTGACCTAGGTATATTTGTAATTCTTTATTTCTGAAATTCTTTGTATGTAAAACACGAACAGCTATTTGGATTAATTGGTTTTCTCCCAGATGTTAAAACCTTCTCTACAAAGTTATTGGCCATAAAACGTTGTATCATGTTTCTCTTACAAACAGCCTTTAGAAGAGCCAAATGGAAAGAAACTAACTGTTGTCAAGCGAAAATTTGGACAATTGCCTTTGATTGAAATATCATTGATTTCTCTTAAATTACAGGAACAGAGAGGGCAAGATTGTTCGACCAGCTGTGTTCCAGGGCAGCCTGCCATCTGGATCTATGGCCAGGGTAGAACCAAACAGAAGATGGTTTGGTGAGTTTGCAAATAAGTTACCTCCAGGCATAGATGTATGATGTTGGATGGGTTTGTCTTTAAATTTGTGTGCATACAAAAGTGTAACAGGGAGGTTTCAAGTGCTACCAACTGACTTGTCTGATGGGTGTCCAGGCCATTTTTCCTAGCAGTTAGCCAGCTGCATTGATAAGCTGGTTGCCTGTGGTTGCTTCATGGTGTCCTGGAAGCCAGGGTAGACTGTACTACTAGCCTCTTGTTCACAGGGAACTAAGTGTTTCCATATAGATGTTTGTATTTTTTTCAGGAAATACAAGAGTAGTTACCCAGAATGCTCTGCAGACATTCCAGGAAGAGATGGGTAAAGTAGTGAAGGACCCGTACCAGGTGGTGATGAGGCAGAGTAAGCTGCCTCTGTCACTGCTACATGACAGGGCTAAGGTTGGTACACATGGCAGGCTTTGCACGTCTCCTGACGTATGGAGAGGTTTTAATTTTTGCTATTTATGAAAGTATTACTGTAAATTCATCTGCTTTCACTTACATTTCTTGAAAGGAGCTTAACTGTTTGTTGGGATTCGTTTAGCTAAGTCTAATTTGATATTTTTTTCAGTGATTCACTTTCTGTAAGAAAGAAAGGGAGAAAGTTCACTGTGTATTGTGTAAGATAGTTTTCCTTTACTGTTTGACAGGTGGGTAAAGAAATAAACATTTGTTCCCCTCCAGACTGCACGTGTTCACCTTCTTGACACTGAGAGTTTTGAAACCACCTTTGGTAAGAAGGCCCAGAGGAAGAAACCAAGTTTAAAGGTGGCAGATTACCAGGTATTGATATGTTTGCTTTGACTTTCTCAACTATGGCCCTTCTTGCCATTCTACGCAAATACCTACAGATGCAAGCAAATATGCAGACACACACGCAGACACACACACACACACTGTCTCCGTGCAATTATGAATGAAGGTAATTACGAATTGAGATTTTCTGACCAATGTTGAACAATGTACTTTATTCCTGTGCAGGGTCTTATGAATGTTGTTCAGGAGTCCACAGACAAATATGACCAGGAGAAAGACAAGGACTTGGAGTTGGAAGATGAAGGAATCAGGTGTGATGACATTCCTTGTGGGCGCATAGAGTTGAAATATTGAGGAGTTAACTTAAAATATCCTAATAAGGCTAACATTTACTAGTACTTGTTGTCACTTGTAAAATCACCTGAGTTTTCACCTAGGAAAATGTCACTGAGCTAGCAGCACCTCCTAGTGACTTAAAGCAGTACTGCATGGCAATACTGTATTAGGGTAGTGCAGGGCAGGCCATACAAAGTTGCCTCTCTTGCCCCATTTAATGAATTACTGCAATTCTTGATGGTTTCAGAGATGAGGCAAGAGAACCCATCTTCAGCAAGGGTACATCCAGAAGAATATGGGGAGAGCTGTATAAGGTAACCTTTCTGTTACCTAAATCTAAATGTTAATTAACTCGTCCTGCGGAGCCGTGATATATGGGTTGCACACACAGTACCATCCACATAGCGCCCTGTATATGTATAACTTGTGGGTTTATTCTCATGCAATGCATCACACTGCAGTGAAATGCAATGAATGCGGGAGTAACTATTCCACCACAGGCAAAAAAGTCGGGTTTATGACCTGATCAAAACTTGAATTTATTGACAACTATTGTGTAAAAAATGCCAGCAGGACAAGGGTTAATTAAAAATCAGTTTTCTGTTTCATGTATATGATGTGTGCTCTTTCTCTAGATTGATTTCATATACTAGTAGAGTATACCCATTTTTATGCAAACCATGATGTGTCTAAAATGGCTTAAAAGTTTGACAAGGTCACCCTCAAGTCCTGAAGTGTCCACTCCTGAAGACATTGCAGATGAATTGTATGTTGTGTATTTTGTTCTATATTTGTGCTTCATTTGAGTATTTATTAGGTTGTTGAGCTGTGAGTTTTTGTATCCATCTATCAAGACAGAGTAGGTTGAAAGCATGTGGGTGGTGTGAAATTGACAGGCAAAATGACAAAGGTCTGATAACCTGGCCAGGAGCCAACAAGAAACATGGGGGAATTGTGATTTCTTGTTACATGTATCAATACATGTAGCTCTATTTCTGACAGTCTCCTAACTTCCGACCTATCCAGGTAATAGACTCCTCTGATGTGGTAATACAAGTCCTGGATGCCCGTAATCCAATGGGGACTCGCTCCAAACACATTGAGGACTTCATGACTAAGGAAAAGAGCTACAAGCATCTCATCTTTGTGCTTAACAAGTGCGATCTCGTCCCCACCTGGGTTACAGTGAGTATCTATATATATGGTTATCCTGTTTCAAGGTGTGATAGAATTGTGCAATTTTCAGGCATGTTGGGCCATACTGATGCGGTAATAATATGAATGACATCTTATGGGCACCTAAAACTGATGTAAGTGTACGAAAAAAAACTTTCCTTCATTATGATTTGAAATCTACAATCAGGAAAAATGAACAAATAACTGCTCTTCCACACCTTCTTAACTTTGTTGATAATTTGAGCCCTGCTTTCCTTCCTCTGGCGTCTTTTTGTTTTCCTTTCATCCTCTGTCATCCTTCAAGTTCCAAATGAAACAGTATGAGTATGGTCACAATTTTTGGGAAATGGATGGAAATTGATGCTTGCACAGATGTCATCCATGTAATCAAGTTAGTGTGCATGTTACATGATAATGTGTAAAAATATGTACACAATAAAAGTTTGGCCTTTCTAGTAAATTCTACAATATCCAGGGGATAGGAAGGTTATCACAATCTGATAATCATGTCCAGACACATCCAAGAAAAATCAGTTCTTATACCTTTTATTTTATCTTATATGGTTTACCTGATTTATTCTGTAAATAATTGTTACCTACATGTAGCTAATTCTGATCAGGATTGGCTTGTTCTATTATTACTGAACATAATGGCAATCATAATTTTAAGATATGAAACAGAATAGAATATATCATGATATGCACTCAAAAGTATTGGATATACCCTTACATCTGATAT